CCTTGCGGAGAGACTAATTCGTTTCAATTATCGTTCGTACCATGGTACGATGTTACATCGAAACAGTTTGTGAGTTTTGAACTCGATGCAACAGTCCAATATTGGAGTTCCCGTATGTCTATTACACACGTTTGTGTAGTAAACAACGCGGCAGATTATTCCATAATTAATGTCTTTTGTTTCGCTTAGATTCACGTGATTCGAATTACAACCAACATCCGTGATTTACTGCAACGCGGAACATTCATTGGAGGTACTTTCGGACATTACATTTATGAGTTCCGTACGCTTTTAGAAAAAAATTGGTACACTAATTTAGCGTAAAATTAACCCTTTGCATTCGACGACGTTTTCCCGGTATCTACCAGCAACTCGAGATCCTTTCTTAGCATTCTATTGCCACGAATGCTAAGCTTCGATTGACCTCGAAGATGCAGCCCGATTGTTATTTTATTGGCACCTCGAGTTTCATAGAAATTAAACCTAAAGAAACATTAGACATTGTAGATTTGCTGCGTGGAACCTAATGGTGACTGAGAGTCACCTCTCGAGTGCAAAGGGTTAATCCTTTTTATATAATTGCTTCCATAGTGGCCAGCACCCTTAAAGTTTCAATAACTTTCGATCGAGCATTTAGCACTGTTCCACGTTCAGGACTATAACTGTAATAGATCCAAAAATTTCTTTCTCAAATTTTTACACAACATTCTTGGAACGCCTATCTTTCAAGAAGTGGAACAAGATTGTAAAAAAATCCAGGAGAAACATGAAACATTGGCCTAACAAAACGTTGGAGAATGTCTAGTGTACGAATAGCGAGGAGAAATGACCGAAATTGAAGAAACATGAATCCGAACTTATCTAGGATTCAAGTTGTACGGGAAAAGGGTTAGCTAAGAATGGAACGATCCATACCGAAAGTTCATTTTCTCGCAAATGGTGGCGGCTTTCTCGATGCTGAGCTCGTGGCTCGGGGTCAGCAGGAAGGCGCCCTTCGTGAGGAAATCGGTCTCGCTGATCTCGGAATCGGTGTCCTGGTCCTGCCAATCAGCGGAGACGCGACGATCCTCCTGGTTCAGCCGCAACAAGGAGCTGCTTTTCGACGTTGACATGTCGTTTTCGCACGTTGCACTGACGTCGTGTCCCTTCTGCGACATCTTCTTATAGCCCGTCGAACTGGGATCGGCTGGCTCGCGATCGAACGTGTCCCGTTACGCGAGATCGACTCCTCAACGAAATCACCGGACATATGCTCTTGACACACTGCTGGACAGTTACGCACCGATACGCCCCTTTTATATTGCTCAGGGAGCTCTATGATCACAACGGTCGAGGACTCTGCCCACGATCTTGCTCGCCACGGTCTTACTTCCTAATCGTCTAAAACAATGGCCGACGAGCAATGCCATCTTCGATGCAAGACCGCTGTCGACTGCATTTTAATTCGCGTAACGTACAGGGGTTCACTCGTCAGGCGAGACAAATTTTTGGGCTGGAATATGTTAGGTTGGTTCACGCGAAGTGTCGTTATTATAATCTTTACCATTCAATATTATCATTAGACCGCGGATCTTTATGCAAAACAAAATCTTCGCGAACGTGCTTATAAAAATTGAACCTAAATTGGAATTTATTTTATTCAGCAAATATTATAACATGAACTTTACTTTCAATCTTTTTTATATTCTTCCATATTGTTTGCATTTTGTAGGTTTTTGCACATTCAAAGTTTCTATAAATACATAAAGATCACCAGTCCAATTATCATTCAATATTATCCGTGGAATGGACTACAAAGAGTCTGATTCAATCAGATTCGAAGAAACTTTCTACGTACCTTTGCAAAGTGTACAATGTAGATTGTGAATATTTATTTCTGACGGAGGTATGTTATCCCAGGTGGATTGCAAATATGATTTTCGCTTTGTAGACTTTAAGCTTTTAAGCTTTATAATTATACATGATGAAGCTCTGATCGTAGCATTCATATATATATATATATTTTTTTTTTAATGATAAAGTGACGCTAGATTCGACAGGTTTCCCATTTTACAGTCTAGAATATCTCAAAAAGGAATTCAAAGTTAAAAGTTTTAATATCACTACGTTGCGATAATATGTTTTATTATCACGTTTAATTAATCCGTAGCAGTTCTGCAGCATTTTATTTTCAATTATACAATTCAGCTTCGTCGCGACACAATGCTCTAACGAGGATAACTGATCTCGCAAAAACGGAAACGTAGGATGACACTAACGATGGTTGAATCAAGGTTAATTGGGTCCAAGATGAACTTCGGACAAATGAACCGAACCGGTTACGTCATTATTAGTTACCAAAGACGTATTCGAGCAAGTACACATTAATTTTTCGCAGCTGTGTTTTTCTACGTGAGATTCGCGAGGAAAAATTTACTCGAATAACACAAGGAAGGTAGATCACGCTATTTGGAGAATTGCAGGCATGCTCGAATTAATCTTGTATTACTGCAAAAGGGTAGTTTATTAACCAAATGTTTTTAATATTTCATTTGACAGTCATTTGACAATTATTTGAGAGTACAGGCATCCGAAGAGGTTGAATCAATTTCTGTATGCATCGTTAACTCAATGATGATGCATTACTTACTCTTACCCTCCATACGATCTTTTAATACGCGTCCGACGTATTAAAAACGCATTATACCGAGTGGCTATACATTTTTCCCTCCGTCCTTAACGAATATTTATTATGAAAACTTGGCGGGACTTCCTCTTGCGCGCAGACGTTTATGGATGAAATAACAAAGGTAGAATCTTAACGATCGAAACGCTAAAAATGTTGCATCGTTCCGATGAAAAGCGTCCGAAAATGCTGCGTTTATCTAAAGGACGGTCATTTGCTCTTATAACGAGCAGTGAAATAATGCTTGTGAAAAATAATAGAATCTAGTGCAATCCAAAAACAATCGTTTTATTCGCAATAAGATATCGCTTACGTAAACCTTTATAGTCCAAATTATGTTTCTACGATAGAATCACTAGGAATAATTACTACGAAACTATATTTTAAGAATCGGTTTCATTTCTTGCTTTCGAACGATCCAATGTTAAGTTATCGTGTCAATAATGACAAAACAGGATAAATTTCACGTGGCTGTTATTAATGAAAAAAAAATGATTAAAGATGAAGAAGAAATATTTTCTTTATTGATTCAACATTATTATTATGATTCGACACTACTATTATGTATAAAGATATTGACACACCACAATTGTTTGTGATGTGAAATAAAATTTCTGAAACAAAATCAAATATCAAAAGTGTACATAATACATGACCACAGACTCGCGTGAACTTATAGAAGATTGAAAAGAACCCTGTGACAACCTCTACTGTACAGAATCGCCTGGAACCCGACCAGAGAATGAATCTCTATTCGTCTCTTCTTGGTCCTAACGTCATCGAAAAGTCGACGCGTCGACGCGAAGAGAAACGAAGTTTGAATGCGCAAACACTTACGAGCGACTGGTGGATTCGGTATTCGTCGGCTTTTCACGGCTGAGCAGCACCTGAGATTCTCGCGATTAAACAAATTTTAGCAGGAGCCGAGAGAGAGAGAGAGAGAGAGAGAGAGAGAGAGAGAGAACGCGCGAGAGCGTACTCAACAAGCGTAAGAGAGCTTAAATTTCATTCAAGACACTTGGCCGACTACGGAGGCCGAAAGCTCCAATTAACGCGGCTTTATCGAACTCTCCAGCGACAACGGAGCCCGAGTTGGTACACAAAGACGCAAACAGGCGTGTACACTGGGTAAACAGTGATCGAGGAGAGAGACGAAGGGAACCGAGCGGAAGCCAGCGAGAAAGGGAAAGAGAGGGACGCGTGAGATTCACATTCAGAAGCTTCATTTGAATAGAAATCAAGAACGCTCGGTCTTCAGCGAGAATGTTCGCGGAGGCCTGCGACAAAGCGTCGAAGTGCATCGATTTGCACTAATTATCGAAACGGTAATTGCTGTGAACAGGATCGCGAGCCGTCGAGGAGGTATTGTTGGTAGAGACTCGAGCGATCCACAGCCGCTAATCGAGCGTTGATGAAACGGAGTAAGCATCCTCGGGGATGAAGTTCGGTATTGTCTCTCGGGTTGACCCGATTTCTGTCAGTCAAGATGTTAAATAGATGCGCTATGAATCTAAGATCACTGGTAGCCCCGTTGTTGGGAACGAATACTTACTTACAAAGGAATTTCAATGAAAAACTGAAGGGTTGATGGCTCGTAATCGAGCAAAATCCCAGACAGATTTCTTACCGTCTGGCATAAACAAAAGTATGTTTATTCAGACGGCTCTCGAAGTTGAACAGTAATAATAATAGTCTGAGAGCCAGCGACGATTTCACTTGCGTCATTTTGAAATGAAAATAACCCTTTTTTTTATGAAAGTATAATAACTGACAATCGCGCGCAAAACGTCTGGCAATATTTTTTGTTGCCCACTAACATGCAATTAATCACTATACCAAAAATCAGCCATTTCAAAATGACGTAACTTCGTTTTTTTATTTCAAAATAGCTGCCAGACGATGGTTTTCGTCATCGTCAGTTATTATACTTTCACTAAAAAGGGGGTTATTTTCAGTTGAAAATGACGTAAGTAAAATGGTCGCTGTTAAACTGTAAACAGTAATGTATTTTCGGCTTTTTGATGAATTTTTAGGATTCGATGGTTCCTACTACATATCTGTACGAAATTTGAAAGAGTTTTGACGACATTTGGTCAAATTACAGAAATCTATATTTTAAAATATAATTCAGTTTCATATTGAATTTCATATTAAGCAATTTATATTACAAAATACAATTCAATTTCATATTGAATCTCATATTAAGCAATCTATATTTGAAAATACAATTCAATTTCATATTAAGCAATTTGTATGATAAAATACAATTGAATTCCGTATTAAATTTCATACTGAATTTCAACGTAAACTAATTTGGATATCTGTCTAATTCCAGATTGGCGACTCCCCATCTCGAGCAATCCATGGCGTCGAATTCTCACTTCCCAAAAGGTAAGTGGCCTCTGCAACCCGTAGCGTTCGAATTCGCACCGCCCTACGATCAAACAAAAATATGGTCGTTTTTTCCCTTCAATATTCGCTGGAACGCGGGCCACATCTGTTCCCCAATCACGAACGATGCCCTGCCGTAACGCGACCAGTTTGGTAATCTCGAATCAATTATTATCGATTCGAGCGTTCACAAATTCCCCAATCAGCGTTAGCAAAGGGTGCACCGGATTACCGGGGCAAACTGCCGTAATGCGGTCAGCATAATCCAACTAAAAACGGATATGTATCGGCATCAGGTGGGAATCGTCGCGAACCTGGCGTCGATTGCTCGCCGGTTGAGCAATGATAATTTGAAACAAGACAGAGACACGGCGACACCGAGTCGTTAATCAATATAAGCTGCTCGCATCAGCGCGACGCCATACCACTTTTCTGCGTTCGTTTCGACGTGGATTACCAAACGCAGCAATCGTATTATACGATACAGGAAATACGGGCAGTCCGCATGAAAAATTGAATCGAAAATGTGGAATAAACTTTTTCCATACGGTGCTTCGCGTTGGAGAAAAATGATTCTAACGATATTCGATTATTTCAGGTTATATATATTTACCAGAACAATGGATTATTGAATTAATGTTTAATGGATTCGTTCCTTCATAGTAGAGTAGAATTATACAGTTGCTCCATTAAATATTTAAACAAAATGGAACGTACATCATTATTTTCTGTATATACTTATTTCGAATGTTATTGAATTTTTTAGTAAGCAATCGATTAAGGCACTTGTGTACACTAGTTTACAGGTATACATAAAATTAACCCTTTGACTGCGGGACGATTTATGTTGGATATTCTAAGAGGCGTAGAGGTGCGAATTTAAAAAAAATATCAGCTTATAGGGAATGATAAGACGGAACTTTTTTATATTTACTGTTTATTCGTACGACGTTTCGTTTTCGAGATAAAAATTAAAAGCTTTTTCCTGAAATTCAATATTCGCAACGAATTTTTAATTTCTCAATTTTTAATTTCGAAAGTAAGCATCCTATGAATAAACTGTAAATATAAAAATATTTCGTTTCATCATCCCCTATAAGCTGCTATTTGTTAAAAATTGATTCAACGAACATAAACATTTCTCTGAGCCCATTTCTCGAGACCGTATATATACGTCCTTTACTGTCAAAGGGGTTAATCATTTTAATTAAGTAGTAATGTGTTCGAGTACTTTGTCGAGATGAATATTGAACCTAATTTTGTTCAAAGCTCACTGTGCTCAAATTTTGTACTGTTGGTAGTGGATTAAAATTTATTTAACACAATAATAATAGCAGTGGATAACGACTGAGTTACTGCAGTGATCGACACTGACATTGAATTTTCACTGACTGAACGAGTTCGCATTCCTCAAATAATTTTGTTTAAAAAGACAAATAAACAAACGCTAACTTCGAATGACAGAACCGTAGCAAAAATACCATCGAATAATGATGCATCAACTGAATAGTAACTGTTCTCTACACTATGAGAACACATCGCCCAAAGGGTTAAATAGAGTGGCACGTTCCGCAGCTATTTTTCCCAGATTTCAGGCTGGGGCCGCCCTCTGGTATAGTACACGATTCCACGTACGTAACATTTGTTTACCCCGATGAAATATGTTTTTCACGTAACAAGGGTAATTCGAGGGCAATTTAGAAAACGATTCGATGACAACGTACGCGGGATTATCTGTTGCTCGACCGACTTTTCGATGCGTGTTTTGCTCTCCATACCCTCCTCCTCCCCTCTGGACTTGGTTTAACGACTGTCAATTTTCGAGCAATTTCGCGATCCTCTTCAGGAACGCATTAGAACGCAATTACAATCTGTTTTTGCGCGGGATGGCAGAGGGCCTCCACGGGTGGCAATAAATTCACGTAGAAGTCGGCGAAGGCCTCGATGCTTCATCGTCAATAATACGTCGGTGTATTATCGATAATGCATCCGACTACAGTCGGTACGCGTAGGTGGCCAATCAACAACTAACTTTTTTCAGCAAAGACGCGAGGCAGAGGCGTGGGCACTTAATTGGATGATTGGCCCCGACGATATATCGTCGATAAATTGGCGCAAACCGAACAAACGATCGAGAGAAAAGAAAGGGAGGGACGGACCGGTGATCGAGTCTTCTTGGTAACGAGTAAAGTTCATTGCTACACGACGATAGTTCTTTCCTCCTTCCGCGGAACAAAAATTTGCTTGAATTCGCGTTTCTATCGGCAAGGGGAAGCTCCAACTATGGCCATGCGTAGATTAGATGCACATTAACGATTGAAAACAGTCATTGACAGTGTCGAAACTATTAATCATTTTCTTTATTTTTTATACGTGACTTCACGTCACTTCAGATTCATTACCTGGTTATGAAAGAGTTACGAAGATCTTTTTATTTTATACACTACATATCTACAACATCGATATTTCAAAACATATTTTGTCATTTTTATCTTACGATACAAATTTTCGATGTCCAGCTTCAGAATTGTATTATTTACGTCAGTAAAATATTTGCCGGTCGCGAATGTGTTAATTTGAAACTCGATGTACATTACAATGTACGTACACCAGGTCTGAAGACGTAACACGAACGACAAACAACATTGATGCATTTGTGTGGCGTCACTCCTGAAAATTTTAAGTGTTCATTCTCTCGCAAACAGCTACCAACACATACAATCTAACACAAACATTTGTATACCTTGTATTTTCTGCCATAAAGACAAATTTGATCGCATAATATTTAAATCGTATATTATATTTGAGATTTTATTTGTTACTTTCATTTTATTGAGTTTTGCATTATAAATAAAACTAGAAGTGACTTGTGGTCTAGATAATTACACACGTCGCTGTAGCAACGCCAATGGTGTGCAAAGGGTTAACAAAACCGTATCCGTGTGTTTCCACTGAAAGTAGCTTGACAGTTTCAGCAGGCATCACGTTAAGTTGACTGCCAGTAAAAGGATTAACCCCTTGCGGACTGACATTTTGGAGCACGAACGTTACAGAGGACGGGACAGTTTTGGAGCGTGTGACAGGAGTTAACACGTACCTAAACATTATTTTGTGCAATGTATAGACCTTAATTTAAATTAGCGAATCGTTATTCACGTGTTGAGAAATTTAATGTTCGAGGATTGGCTGGTGATTATTTATTAATCCTTTGCACTCTAGAGGTGACTCTCAGTCACCACTAGGTTTTCTTTAGGTTTCATTTCTTTGGAACTCGAAGTGCCAATAAAATGATTGTCGTTGAGGCAAAGGTGACCTGATTCTCAAATCTCAAATTAGAGATCTTAGCATTCGTGGCAATAGAATGCTAATAAAGCATCTCGAGTTGCTGGTAGATACCAGAAAAAAAGGCCTCGAGTGTAAAGGGTTAAGAATTTTCTCACGTGCCACCGAAGCGGGAGAAGTACAGTGGAGAGCGTACACTACGATCAGAGAGTTCTCCGAATTTCGAGATAAAACACATTGTTGTTAATTCTCGAGTGAATCGCCGAAGTGGGTCCAAGGTTCTCGTTAAGCCCATCTCCTCGAATCGATAGCTTCCCATTAGCGGACGGTTATAAAGGTTTCCTCGAACGGTTAGGAGCGGGATGGGACATTCGTCATCCAAGCCAAGTCGCGAAGGACGGCGGAAAATGGTCGAAGTCGATGATAATTACTGGGCAGAGGGTGGCAGGGGGCGAAGAAAAGAAATGATTGTTTTTGGCAGGGTGCGCGGGCGAGATGAACGCAGCGTGACTGTTGCTTTGAAACGGGGATGAATTGTAATTGGACGGAAATGGAATTCGGATAGTGCAGCTCTTCCTCTAACAGAGGGGGTGGGTGGAGAGAGAAAAAGAGACAGGTGTACGTGCACATGCGACTCGGCAAACAGAGAAACGAACAGAGAGGTAGAGCTGTGTAGGCCGAGAAGAAAAGAGGGAAAGTGGGGAAACGGTGCCAGGAGAGAGAACGACGGAATGATAGAGGGAAACGGGAGGGGTTGAGAGAGCCGACGCCAGTGGCCTGTAACTCTATGCTTCTCTGAGCTTCGATCAATAGACGCGGTACAACATTGAACCAAACGCAGCTGGCTAAAATAGTCTGTACAAGTTGCACGTTGCGGCGGCAGTTTTCCGAAAATCGACGCTCGTCGTGCACCAGGACCGCGAAGGGGATGATTAACACGACCGATTTTTCCTCCACGACTGATCACCGCGAGCGTTACCAGCCTCGAAGGGTTGGAGAACGCGGAAATCGGATTTCGGCAACGACTACCACCGTTCCTCCGTTCCTGTCGCTGGCTCACGGGCCCTAAACGCTTCATTTTTGGCTGCATTTCTCCTACCTCGAAACAGAGATCCGTTCCATTTGTGTAATTATTATACTTTAGCTCTTCGTTAGCGATGACGTCTCGGTACGAATGCTAAATGAACGTTAAATCGATAAATGGTTATTGCGGCGTTTTGGTGCGCGTTTATACTCGTTGGACCCCTTCAGGATAATTAAAATAGAAACACACGGTGAATAGTAGTTAAGAGTGTGACAGATAAATAATCACAGAAGTATATTGTATATATTTATATATATATATAAAGATATATGTACCATTTAAAGATTGATATTGCAATAAATAACTATTCGTGATAGCTCGATGAATTTGTGTAAACTTATTATAAATAAAAATAACGACAAGGTTGCATTAAGAAAAATTAATTTATTATTCAAATCTCTGCCATAACTTTGCTTACAACGTTATTTACTCTATAAATGTCCTCTTTGTATCGAATAACGTTTGTACAAATATTTTTTTGATTGCTTCATCTCCTCATAGAATATTTAAGCAAAATATCATACATATATAATATATGTATATACAGTTTATACAGATTACTGTACATATACATAAATATATAGTACTATATAAGGCGGCATAAGTCTTAGGCCGCCATATTAGGCTTGCATTA